CTTGCTGCGCTGGGCTCTGCCCAGCAGGTGGGGGAGTGGAAAGAGCCGATGAGCTGCTGGTGCTTTGGCCGCTGGAGGTTATCTCCTGGTAGAAAAACAAACAGCAAAACCCTCTCAGCTGCAGAAAATTTCACCTAATGGCACAATGCGAGGACTATGATGAGTTAACCCATAACAAGCTTAAGTTTAGAAGTAACAAATAAATGTTACCTGATTTAATACAGGAAGAGAATTGTCCGGTAAAAAACTGTTTCCCAGATGAGGGCTTTTACTGCTGTTCAAGGAATCAGTGCTAGGTGCTAAAGTAATAGTTTCAAAAAACACAGTGGTTACAATTCTGTAACACGTGAAAAGATTCAGAATAATTATTTCAAAATAATGTCAAAGGTAAGCATAGAGAATGTAAAGTCCACCTCAAAATCATTGCTAAATAGTAAAATATTAACTAAATAATTCGTGAATCAATAGATTCAGAGTGCTTCAGACTGAAGTAAAAAAGAAACTGCACTAAAACAAGTAGTAATGGTTCATATAAATCTCCCAATTGACCTTTAAACATTTAAACACACCAACAAATACTTCGTCTGTATTCATCCATCAATGAATGAATCCCACCAATGGCATATGTGGATGAAATAGATACTTCCTATAAACACGTGTTCAAATTACTTAGACACTTCAATACTCTCCTGTGCTTACCTGCTTGTACTGGAAAGGCGTGCACTTGATGAGAAGGACTGGGATTTGACGTTATTGTTGGGAAGGGCACCGAAAGCTGCGCATTGAGTAGCTGAAGCCGCTCCTTCTTAGCAGTCAGATTCTTGATCTGTTCTTCTAACCGCCTGTTTTCAACCTGAAGTTGGTGTAATGATTTAAGCATTCCTAAAACTAAGGTAAAAATGTGTGTTATCTTTAACAACTGCATTCAAAGAATTAATAACATCTTCATTTTTTTAAAATTTATGTATTACAATTTAAAGCATTAAGTCATATGTGAAAATACAAATAAAATTATTACTGAGAAATACCTTACAGAAATTTGACTTCAAGTGGAAAGGTTTAGGATCAATTTTGTGTAATTTGAAGTGCAGAAAAAAGTACATAGCATGTGATAGTAATTTTGTAATATATCTACACCCTGGCTTCAATACCAATAAAGTCGCATCACAAGGGCTGACATTCATTTAAAGCAAACAGTGGTATATGATAACTTATTCCCAAACCAGAATAGAACAACAGTATTATTGTAGTAGCACAGGTTAATTGCTTAGTTGGGAAAAATCTATTTTGGCTGCAGTATTCGAAATTTTAAATATTCTCAAAACAGAGAAAGTTTGACAAATATGCATCCAACTAACAATACAGCCAACCAACCATGTTTATGTGGAAACAGACACATTTGTGACAAGGGAGTTTTTCTGCTTTAATGCCCTGTACAGTGAATCACAAACTTGGAGAAGCAATGAAAAAAGCGTCACCCAAGTGAGGTCACCATGGCTCACCTTGCTGGGAGCAGCTCTCTTGGTCTGAGCCGCGATCTACAGATCACCCAGCAGGGAGCACTGTGTGAGCACTGCACTTACCACCCCTTTTTTTCCAGAAAAAGGGCATCATCTTCTGCGCTAACCTGATTTTCACTAAGCACAGTTTTTTCTAACTCCGATTTGGTTTCAGAACTTGGATTTCCCAACCAGTACTGGAGTGTGACTGTAAAGCCACAGGGATAGCCCATTTTTTTTTTTTTAAATTCTAAACTGTATTTGTTTAACATGACCTCTGGGCCTACTACAGACATAAGTCTACTGGTATAGGCACATCTGGTCATTTCCCAAGGATTTAGCTTTTATCCCTCCTCTTCAAGAACATACAAAGGAACCCTCAGTGAGCCCAAATGAGATGCAATAAGACTTAGCTAAACCTGTCCTCCAGCTATCATGTTTAAAGGATTATCCCTGCATGAATTTCCTCACAATTAGCATTTTTGTCAGGATACCATTCATAAAAATACCAACTAGATACCACTTTATACTACCAATGAGAAGAATAATATGTTCAACAAAATATATAACACAAATCCTAACCTGGTATTAAAAAAAAATTAAATGTATTCAACCATTGTCTTTGATACTGATACATTATAGAATATGGAGATCCAAGTGGTCGACTCACTGCTTACGCTTTTAACGTATTCATACTTGGACAATTCCACTCTATTAAACATGACTTGAGAAAAGAATTATTTCCTTGCTTTAAGAATTCCATGAGAAATGCAGAACATAACCAAGATACGAAAACCCAGTAGGACACCTCTGTAACATTTGTAAATATGACTACAGATGTAGTCAGTTTAGAAAAAATTAAAATGAAGAATGTAACAATAAAATATATTATGCCAATTTGTATCTCACAATATCAAGCAAACTGAGGAACTGAGCTATAGTATTTACAGTAGTGGATTTGAGAGTCCAAATTACATTTCCAAACTCTGCAGTCGACCAGCTGGATCTGCAAGTCACTTCGTTTTGCATGACACAATTTCCCCATCCATAAAAATGTACATAATTATAGAGAACTCTTTTGTAATCCACTGGAGCCATGTGCTGCATTAAGAACTATGTTACAATTATACACTGCAGTTATATTTCTATTCACAGCAGAAAATACGTTTTTTTAAATACTTGGACAAGACCTGAATAGCACAGTTAGTAAAAGCAGTAAGAACCAGAAGAGAAGTGAGTACTCACTGTCACTAGGGGTGCCTTGCTCTAACAAAAACTGTTGTCCTTCACTCCATTGCCTCTCCAGAAGCTGTTCTATGCTGGCTGCTACTGGGGGCAGATTTTCCCCACAACTGTTCCCTGATTGATCATAGCGGATCTGCAAGCTGCTTACAGGGGATCTGTTGAAAATATTGCAGTTTATTTAAAGAAAGAAATGTATTAGTAAAAGGCTGTTAAAGTTTCTTACCTTGTGTGAGCCCTTAGGACCTACATATCTTCCAAGACTAATTTAATTTATCAAAACCACTAAGAACTTGTGGTTCTCACGTGAGAATTTATACTGAGAAAGCGCATAACCTCTTCTTGCATACGGACTAGCATAATACCCGACTGACAAACAACACTGCATTAAATTATAAAACACATGTTTCTACAGCAGAAAACCATTGTATATGGATACACAGAGCACCTGTCTTAAAAAAAAAAAATCTTCCAATCTTTCCCAGAGAAAACTGGGAAAATAAAAACAATTTCTTAAGATCAGCACTGTAATGATACTTCCACATAGCAAGGCCACACATAATTCCACTGCCTAACTTGTTCTAAAAAGTATCATAAAAACAGATTTTTGAGGGACTTCACAAAAATATTGTTTCACAAGGGGTGCAATGAAAGTTAAAGTTATCCTCTGCCTGTCCTGTGCACGCTGAATAGACTTTCTTTTTCGCTCACGATCACACATAGTTCAAAGAATAATCCCTTTGCCACACATCTTTTCTCATTCAGGAGAAAATTAAATATTCAGCACACAGCCACTAAGAAAGCTGGGTACCCCTCAGGTCCTGTAAGTTGGCTTCTTCTGCATTGGATGGGGCAAAATTTAACCTGCGAGAAGAATCAGATGCTCAGCATATTTCTGATTTGGGATTCTGGCCTTGTGCATGCATGGTCCCATTCCTCACATGGGACCAAGCAAAGCCCACTGAAAGTTGGTTGGTGTTTTTTTCTTTTTGTTTGCTTTGTGGTTGGTTTGGGGTTTGGGGGTTTTTTGTTGTTGTGGTTGTTTTTTTCAATCAACTCCAGTGAGCTCAGATTCAGAGTCTTATATATTACTGGTGCCATCACAGGATCACAGCTGCACTGACCTACATGTAGTGCAAACTCACCAACAAGACCATCACAGTCTCTGTAAAGGACAACATGTAGGGCTCAGGAAATCAGTGTGTTAATTATGATTAGCGTAATAAGCAGTGGTCACAGCACATTAGCTACCTAATGACTGTCAAGCATTTTGTAGGCACCACAGCAAAGTGATTTTTACGAGAAAAGGTTTTAAGTGGGTGACTTCAGAGTTCTCGAAGTATTTATAAATATAAATTCCTCTTTTGCATACAGGATAAAAGAAGAAAAACACGTGTAAAACCAAAAAACCCTGATGAATGGGTAACCAAGGCGGTGTTTTTTGACAAGAGATGACAACTCAACAGCATTTAACAGTTCAGCACGGACATGGCAAAAACAGCCTTAAAACCAGTTGTTTACACGACGTGCTGAAGCGGTAAGAACAAAGGTTTATGCAGAAACGTTCTCAACAGATGTACTACGCTTCGTACAAAAAGCGCACTTTAAAAGTAACAAATCAAAACAAAGCAGAAAACACAAAACCAAAACTAGAAAACCAAAATTACAGAAAAGCACCACACAACCCCCCAGCAGCTTCCTTCTCCGCCTGCATGCTTTTGAAGGGCGCATAACGCTACTCTTGACAGATTGTGCTGTTTGAATTATAAATCACCAACAAAATTCTTGCTGGGCTTAGGGCTGTTTCCTATCAATTTCACAAAGGTAGAAACAAGGCAACACGTGTATAACCTCTGTAGTCCTTCACTGGAAGCCTGTACAGAAGGACAAAAACCTCAAAATCTCGATTTCCCTGTATCGCAACATCAGCCAATCCATCCTTTCCAGCTGAACCTCTCTACCTCATCCATAGACATGATGCAGTTCCTGCATCCCAGGGTTGAATCCTTATTCCAAACAGTATTTGATCATAGTTTCCAGCAGGATTATAGGTGTGCTGTATGTGCAGGTCTGACGCAGCCACTGAGATGGGAATCCCTTGTCACATGTGTCATACCTCGCTTTCTTTCACAACTGGTTTTTGTTTAAGTTAAGGGTACAGTTATTCATGCTCTTATAGTATTAATTGTAAGCAATACTGCACTGAGATATAGGCATGCATACAGATTTCAATGCAGATATTACATAACACATTTTTAAATCTAAGGTTAAGTATAGGGGGGGAACGTTTAAGTGCTACCTTGGGAAAAGCAGCAATTCCTTTACAAAATGGAAACAGCTCATATATACCAGCTATATTTATATTTCCCATATATACTAAAATTTTAAATATGACAGTTCAAACATTAAACACTATGGTTATATAGGGGTAAAGAGAATAAGAGTTTGAAATGACCACACGCTTCATGAGTCACATATGTCTTCTCTGAAGAACTGCAACTGGCTGTGTCATCAACAGCAATGATTTCTGCAAGTGTTTTTATTCTAAGCAACTATTTGAAAATTTGGAGAAGTGCGTTATTTATGAATCTCATAAGTTTCAAGGGGAAGAGAGTCAGAACTTACAGAAAAATAATTTTAATAGATAAGGGAGGTAACATTCAAAGTTGCAACATTTTCAGAGAGCAGACTTTTGAAGTTAGTTTTTTAATCACTTTAAACCATATTTTAAGTAATCAGAGTCATTTACTTATTTAAGTGGGAAAGGTGAGGAGTTACCTACACATTTTAGAAACATTGACCCATGTGTGATCTGTCTTACTACACAAACCAGGGGTGAAATTTGGTGACTACTGAACTTAATCGAATGGGTACGTTTTCTAAATTTTTTTCCATGCCAGGTATTTCAGACTAAGTTTTTCCATCTTTCAATTTTGGAACTACAGCAGTGATTTCTTCCTTTTCCCCTCTTTTTGGCTTGTTCTTGAACAACTCCACTGCCAAGCCAAAGCTATTGGCTTTCTGCGAGGTGACACAGCTTCAATGCGCTGAGGGAAGCTCTGTGGTCACAGACCGAGATCTGTCATTTTGCACCACGCAGTTCTGTGCCATCCCCGTCCATCAAAACCTGCTGAAATCTGACCGTGTTGTAAGCGCTGGGCTATGCATGCCCTGAACATAAACTCCAAAAACCAATCATATTTAAGAAGTTTAGTTCCCAAATATTCTATCTAAAGCCAGCCTGAACACAACTATGGCCTACTGCAAATCGTGCGAATAGCAATATTTGCATATTAACTAACCAGGGATTACAACTCGCATTTACCACAACGCGGATGCATAAGAGGACAACTTAATATATATCCAAACATTCTGCAATTTCCTAATTGTTGAGCATTTCCCTTTGCAAAACGCTCCTTACTTGTCTGTATATACACAGACATGTTCCTTATTTATGTAAAGATTTATATGCTAAAGCAAATATATGTATTTATACTAAGAACACAGTCTAAACTAAAATGTAAATTTTCTATTTATTGTTTTAGAAGCAACATGTATTGTAAAGCTTAAAAGCCAGTTCATGACTAGGTAATATCATGTGAGTATTATAATGGATATTCTCACCCTGTTCGACAAGAAGTCTTTTGATTAATTAAGGAATATAAGACAAGATCAACACCACCAAGCATGTACATTAAATTATTAATTTGGAGGTATTTATTCTAAATTGCCGTAATAAACACATGCTGTAAAAATCAAATTCATTACTGCAATGCTGTACCTGTGTAACTACCACTTTTTAGCTATCCTAAAATCCTTTTCAAGATAATATTCCCATGTTTAGTCCCTAAGTAAAAAAATACAGTAATAACACTATAAAATCTAATTCATATGGGACCCAGTATGGAAAATAAAGCCCTTTAAAAACAAAGATTCACTTAAAATATACAGAAAATATTACTGAAGTATTTTAAAAGCAAAATCGGAATTTTAACAGCAAGTATTTTAAAAGAAAATACTGTGATATAATATGAGCAGAATTCTTATGCCCAAGTTCTGTAGTAGAGGTGAATTGCAGCAGAACAAAAAAAAAAAACCAAAACTTTTTTTCCATAGAGAATAGTTGCATATTTTGGACTGGTGAGGCAAAGGGAAGAAAATATTTGACATTTTTACTGATATTTAACTTCTCAGACCATCTTATTCCTGTGATTGTTGTAATTTGTTTTTAACACATGGGATTTTGGAATTTTTGCAAATATGACTAAAAATCTGATTATGATAACAAATCTGAGGAGATAAGTAGTACACGTGGATTAAATTATAGATAAATCCCTTTAAAGCAAGTCTCCATTTCTTAAGTGAAGTCCTTCATTTGTAAACCTAATTTCAGTAAAAGTAAATTTCAGCACATTTTTAGCTATTTGGACACACTAGGGGTTTTTTTAGATGGATATATCTATATAAAAATAAAAGTGTGTATACATGTGCACGTATTTCTACACATATACATGGAGTACTAGTAAAAAGACAGTGGAGTTTCCAAATCTTAAGACATTTCCCCTGCCTGCACTCCCCAGTGTAAATAACGCTTACCGTGGTGAGAGACTTCCTCTGGGTGAACCTCCTCTGCCAACAAGGCTGCGGCTGTTATCTCCAAGATCTTGATCTGCAGTGTAAATATTTCACAGCTGATAAATCGACTCCTCTTGGAGAAGAGCTTTAAAACTGATGTAGATGTTTTAAAAATACCTTAAGTCTCAACTTCTATTTGTAGTTACCACTGACGAGCGAATACGTAACTAGTTTAAGATTGCTGAACTGTAGCGTGTAAGGTGTTGTCCTTACACATTTCTGAGGCTGTACCAGGCCATGGATTATGTTAACTTCTTTCATTCCTTTCAGTTTTACAGCACAGAAGCGTGGTTTGCATTTGCAGTACCCTCCCCTCAGCCACTTTTAATTTCTACGGTGAAAGTAATGAATCACAGCTGTGGACAGCTAATCTGTATGCTTATCACAGCAAATCCTGATGCTCTGTATTTTTTTAACACTTTGTGTCCCAAAACAACTCATAAAATATATAACGTACTAAACTTGCCACTGCCATCTAGCAAGCACATATTATTCCACAAATTTACTGAAAACTTTATGAAAGCGTGTAATTCACTAATTCCTATTTATAAGCAGAAGCATAGGAAAACCCCTTGCTAAAAAGGTAGTAAAACAAACAAAAAAGGCCTCATTAAATATACGAAAACGTTTTGCTTGGAAGGACTCAAAAGGGTTATTTTCCCTATGGCCTTTCAATAAAATAACCCTATCTGCCCCCTTCAAGGTTGCCCTCCCCCTATTCTGAGTCAGGTGACCTCCGACCCCTCGGAGGGCAAAGACATGACTGATCCATTCTTGGTAAACTGCTAAACTCGTTCCCTTCCCCCAAACAGGCCCGACCGCTGCGACATGTCAACAAATCCGGCCGGGGTGAAACAAAGCAAAGGCAGCGCTCATTAAAACTGCAGAGAGCGAACGGCACCCGACGCCGAGCGGGAAATATTCACCGGATTATTAAATGCTGCGCAGGTTCTCTAACGGGATCTCTTTCATAGGAAGTTGTATGTAATACAATTTCATGAATTATGCAAATAAAGGTTTAAACTATTCACGACAAAACCCAGAGCTGTGTTACTCTGGTCGCAAAGAGCTCGGAACTGAACACATCAATCACTGATGTCTTCAAGATAAACCTGTACTAAACACGTCAATGGCTCCGCACTATCTTGTACACTTTGGGGAAAAAAAAAAAAAAAAAAAAAGGAAGAAAACCCGCACTGTTCTGCAGGACAACCAAGAATTTACTTCTGACACAAACCAACTTTATACAGACATTTAATAACCAAATGCTGAGCAGAGTTCAAAAATAAAATGTAACCATCTTTTAAAAAATACGTAAGCCTGTGAAGTTGCACGTTTGTCAGCAGCAGTGGGAAGCTTACCTGCTTGGCTGTTTTCAGACTGAGCTATAAGTGCTGCCATTGCCGAATTTGGATTCAGCCTATTGCCGTACATGTGGGATGGAGGCAGACTGAGAGAAGATCCAGGTAGGGTGTTTGCCTGCAAGAAACCAAGTAAAACTTGAATCCTGATTTTTAAAAAGGGGGGAAAATGCTAAATATATTTTAAAGAAGCCTTCCTGATGCATCATTATTAACCTTTTATTTGAAGTTTGTTGTTGTTTTTTTTAAACTGAACATATTTAAAAGAAAGAGTATTATTTTCCTTTTGTGAGTACAGAAATGGAATCGCAGTACTTTGTAAACATACTGTGTTTTAAAGTGTTTTACTTCTCACTGGCAAGATGTGTTAATAAAAATACCTTCTAACAAAAACTTACTGCAGCAAATATTAAAAATACCTAAACTGCATTTTAAAACAACCACCATGTAGCAGGACGGGCAGACTTCCTTGCAATCCTAAGTATGCACTCACTGCTAGGACTTAGTAGCGTGGTGACCATGTGGATATCCTACTAATTATTTAATCTTATTAAACCATTTACAAAATAAGAGCAGGTAGACAACAGATGTCTCACAAATGCTTGGGCTCCTTACATCACAAGCCGGCTGTGGGGGTCAAAAGGTCCAACTTTCAGCTCTATAGTTTAACTACACAGAGCCATATTTCCTTTGCTCCACTCCGTCATTAGTAAAACCTGCACACTATTTTGTTACTTCCTATTTTGATAGAATTGGAAGCCTGGTGTTTTTTTGTTGTGTTTTGTTTTTATTTTAAAGAACGCAAACAGCCATTACAAGTATGTTTTCTATACAATAGGGGGCTCGCCGAATCGCAGCTTTGCCCTGACCCCATATAAGGAACTGTATTTTTGGCAGTTGGCCAGCTCTACTTATTGAAGAGCTCCCAAAGTTTGTGTTCATTCATGTTGCTAACCACAATTCCGAAGGTCTCTGCTGGGACTTGTGCCAAACAAGCGAAAATGAACCCTTAAACAGATGAAGCTGAGGAGGCTGGCCAAAATCTTGCATAATCCAACGCAATAAAAATACCTTCTTCCTTGGCTGCTTATGCTTTTTCCCTTTCGAAGAAAAGATTTGTGTCAAGTGCTGAGTTGCAGAGACAGGCAATCAAACAAAAAAAAGGCATGGCTGCTTATTAAAAAGGCATTTTCCTACCTGATAGAAAAATTATCTCAGAACAAAGAAAAGATTGCAAGGAGGGAGGGCTAAAAAAAAAAATCAAAGTTACACAATCTGTGTGATCACTGATTTTAAAATGAATCTTTTAAGAAAATGTAAACAACCTTTACAGAGGCAACTGTTTTTGAAGAAAAAAAAAAGGTGAACAGTAATGAACTCAATTTGTGGGACATTTTGACATGTATAACTGCACACAAGAGGGGGGAAAACATACTGGTTATTACAGCAAAATATTACAGAGTATAAACTATGTCTCTGGAAAGAATCACACACTACCATTAAGTTTTGGCTTTCAGCCAACATATTAAACTTGATGAATGGACTTTTATGAATTCACACAACTGTTTTCAATGATGCTTTATTTACTACACATTGGTGAGAAATTGTGCCTGATACTTACATTCTTCTACTGTCACAGAGTTAGAAAAAGCCACTTAAAATTATCAGGTTTCTTTCACTTTTCAGTTTCAAGGTGTGTGCAAGATTGCTAGACACAGAACCACACTTTCACTTCAAGTATGGCTGCTATTTCTTTCTTTTTTTTTTTCTTTTAAGAATTGCATGTCTTAATCTGAATTAGTTCTGAGTCTTAAAAATACTGCAGGCGTGTCCACCTACCCTGGTATAAGAGCTTCCAGAAACACAGTATGTGTTAGTACCATCACACTTACTGATGAAGGCAGCAACACCGCACAGCTCCTGCTATTTTCCTTAGTAAATGCCTAGAGTCATTCCAACTCCACTATTACTGTTCACTACCAACCTTCAGCTAATTTTCCCTCAAAAACGAAACAAACTTCAAAAGCATTGCAGTTTTTTATCAAATCCTTTCACTGAAGGAACCTTACAGAATGGAATATTACAAGATTCAACCATTACTTGCTTCAACAACTAAGAGACAAGATTAGCAAAACTATTTTTTTTTTAAATAAATAGGCTGAGGTTATGAATTCTACTAATATAGTCCATTCTTTTTTTAAAAATTAAAAACATCAGGTCTTATTTGTGTTTAGTTGTAAAATATTTCTATAAAAGATTTCTCTTAATTCTAGTAAACGTACCGCTCACTTTTTAGAGATAAGCTGCTATATTTAATGTGTAATTCACTGCAAGGCTACTTAAACTGCAATAGCAACTATCTATTAATTTATGATGGCAGGGCAGCTATAATCAGCAAGGAGAATACATGGTTTTTTTGACTGAAACGTGCTCAAATAGCTTTAAGAACTTTCTAAAAGTATCTAAGTATCTTGAAAGGAGTTGCTAAAGTCTGTTGAGTAACCATCACATCACAAAACAAAGGACATCAAAGGAATTAAACTGTTTGCTAAGTGGGTTGATATAACAGATCAAAAGACTTAGCATGATTTAAACAGTATCTAAGAACCTGAGTTTTTTCACAAGTGGTGGTTCACCCTAAACTTAACCCCCATTTATACTTTAAAATAATAGTAAAGGTGTCCTACAACAAGTTGGAACTACAAAAGTTCTAGTGCATCATGTATCATCCTATGCAGCTCTTAAAGGAAAAAGTCACATTAATAAAATTGGTCAAGTAAGCAGGAGGTAAACAAAAAAAACTTTAAATAGTTGTCTTTAAATGGCAATGTGAAATGACAAGAATAACGATTTGCGAAGCTTTATTATGTATGTGACAACTTCATCTGACAGGAAAGCAGAGGTGGAGGAGTGCGACATTATTTAAAGGTGGAATAGGAGCCTCATGTTTCACGCACAGTCGAAACAAGCTGCAGCAAGCATTTATTAAAAATGCGCAATCATCCTGTCAATACGTATTAAGGTCATAGGACTGGAACATGTTCGAAAATGCAGAACTTTTAAAGCTGTAGTATTCTTTATTTCAACTGATTCTATCTGAACCGTCCACACAATACACGATCAAAATGTATGAACTAATAACATAAGAGACTGCTAAGTTTTCAAAAAGGCAGCACATTTTCCTGAAGATATTTTAGCAAAAGGATTTAAGCCCATCTAGTGGTATGTAATACCCCGCTTTCGTTGATGGCACGTTCAATAAATCAGTAAAGCAATAAGCAGCAGAGCAGCACAGAAGGAAGATACACCGTAAGGCACGGAACGCCCAAGTGCAGTAAGAATAAATGATCGATATTTGATTGATGCTTTAAAGCACTTCCTCTACAGGAAGAAAGAAAGTGCAAGTATATTCTTCTAATAGAAATGTAGTTAACTTGCAAGTTTAGCTCTTAACTCATATATACAAATATCCTCCGAATATTTAGAAGATTTTTATTTGTTTGCATCACTCCAAAATGGTATTTTACTGTAACTGTGTGACTATAAAGTTTCCCAAGTTTACAACTATTTGCATTCATAACTGGACATTAAATTTCCAGGGAAAACAGTTTCTTAATTTCAAAAGTTACATGTTCTTTAACAAAAAAAAACAAAGGGGAGAAAAATGACACAATACATATCCGTACACAATTACATTAAGTCTCAAAAATTTGAGAACATCAGAGCATGCCTATTCCCCTGTTCCTTTCAAGTTTTATGCTATGAATTATTTTCTGCTAACAGGCCTCGTTTCTGCTGCAGCTCCACACCAGTAAGGTTTTAATACTCAGCGTGTGATGAGAGATGAAACCAAGTGTGAACAACTTTCAGGTCCCATGAGTAGGCTGACTGTTGAAGCTGTCAGGTTCAATTGCATCATTCCACATTATTCAGTGCCCCAAACTGCTCCCTAATTGTTAGGGGCTTAACATATTCAAAACCATTGTTTAGGCTAATGCTGAAATGCCTACAGTTGAGTTTCCATAAAGAAAGGGGAGGGATTTAATTGTAGTTAAACCATTACTGAACTCTCCTCCTTTCATGACAGGACAACAACGATGGCTGGAACAACCAATTCCAAGACGGCTTCTTAATCAGTTTATATCCAATCAACACCCCTTTCCCCCTCTGCTTTAAAAACAGAGATTGCTATGTTGTAGCTTTGCCTTATATTATGATGATGCTTTTCAATTAGTGACAGATCACCTAATTACCTACTTCAGCCAATATGTGTCAACAATAAATTTCAAAGGATATTTTTATTTCTTGTTTAAAATAAAAACATATTATTGCTCCTGCACTGTCAGTATCCCTTGAAGTACAAGTACCAGATCAATGCGGTTAGGGTCATACCATTTACCAACCATACTACATTTTTCATCACAGCACCAGGCTGTTGTGGGAAGCTCAAAACTACCCTTTATTCCTATTAACACAAAGTAAAGGAATCAAAAGCACTAGATATCACCAACAACTACTAATGGCCAACCACTACTGAAAACACTTATCACAAATTTCACACAAATTATGTTTAAAGGTAAATTTTCTGTGAGCTGTTCTACTACACTTCTGAGAAGATGTTACTAATGCTTTCCATGCAATTGTCTAGCTTCATGAAATATAGAGGAAATTCACGCAGTAGACCAAATATTAACATCAACTTACTTCATCTAGAAGTCATCTTTGGTGTATTTTGGGTCAATGGCAAGCAACGTTTATCTGAACAGTGTACTATTGATAGTAACATCAAAATTAAAACTTACATTGCAATTAAATGATAGGACAAGAGGTAATGGGCACAAGCTGGAACACAGGAGGTTCCACTTAAATTTGAGAAGAAACTTCTTCTCAGTGAGGGTGACAGAGCACTGGAACAGGCTGCCCAGAGAGGTTGTGGAGTCTCCTTCTCTGGAGACATTCAAAACCCGCCTGGACGCCTTCCTGTGCAACCTCATCTAGGTGTTCCTGCTCCGGCAGGGGGATTGGACTAGATGATCTTTTGAGGTCCCTTCCAATCCCTAACGTTCTGTGATTCTGTGTAAATGAGCTTAGATATTCAAACGTATTAATGCTATGTAC